GGCATGCACGACTATGAGTACACCCCCCCCCCCCCGCGTAGACAAACAACGCATTATACAGCAGTTAGGCGGTGGGTGCACGGAACGAAACGTGACACTCTGTGTGATATGAAGACATGGGATTTCAGCGAATATGTCCCAAAAATCAAGAGCCGTTATTTCGGCCCGAGACTAGAAGACCCCAGTTTGCCATTGGAGAACTAAACGTTAACTTTGGCCTGGAAAGGAAGTTGGCCAAAGCGGGTTGTTGCTGACTTTCTTTAGGCAGCGTAACTGTAACCGAGGGAGGAACTCCTTGACTTCTGTACTTTCTTGTTTCCTCTTCTTCCGTCCATCCTCCTCGTACTTGTACATTCATCAGACTGACTGACGACATGGTTCTCTTCTTCTCCTCTCCTCTTGCTTGTCTTGGGCGGACGCTAAAAGGGGGATGGATGTTTTGCCCCGACTGTCTCCTGTCTCCTATTATTTGTCCTCCCTGCAAACATTGGACTGAATTGCGTCTGGCCACCTAAAAATTGGGGTTCCACTTTCTCTCTTAACATCTCTCTCTTATCTTTTTCAGGCGGGCGCCATGAGAGGGATGTTTTGGCTTGACTGTCTCTTGGCCCTTTCGTTTTCGTCCACGCTCCTCGTACTTGTACATACATTCGACTGAAGGACGACGTCTTGCCACTGGCGGTGCTCTCCTTCGCCCCCCAAGTCTGATTCTTGTATTTACGGGCGGGCCCCTAGAAAGAGGGATGTTTCTAGAAAGTAAATGTTTTGCCTTGACTGTCTGTTGCCTCTTTCGGTGTCCTCCTTGTAGTTACTTGACTGAAGTGTTGCCACTGCCTACATACGTATCCCCCTCATTCTTGTCATTTTGTGGACGGACGCGAAAACAAAAGGACTGCCTACATCCGTACGCTCGCAAAGCGAGCAAGGATATTAATCACGGGAAAGACCACGGGGAGGGGGCACGCAGACCCTAACCCCAACCCCAACCCCAACTTAGACAGTTCAATACTTCATTCCAGCAGTATTGTTTGCATACTTCGAAAAAACTGCGTAGACTCCTGAAAAAAAAACATGAACAACAAACGAAACGGGTGGTATGCGGGAGGTGCCACTCCTTCAGCGCGCACCTGTACGAGTACCTAGCGGCAGATCTCGGCCTGCTCGACGGCATGACCATGAAGAGCGCCTTCTGCGACGAGCTGGTCACCGCGTGCGACGGCCAGATCGACTTCCCGACGTACGATAGCGGCACCGTGGACTACTGCACCAAGCACACCGGCCGGGGGGGAGGACTTATATTGGTCGTACCCCTACGAGGCAGGTGAGTCTCTGCCCTGGGGCCACCCCACCCCACACTTTCGTTGGTGTGTGTGTGCTTATATATTTGCACAATTTGCATCGACCGCTCTCACCGGCTGGCCAATGAAAAGACAAAGTGCTTCTTGAAGGCCGTGATCTGGGCCTCGTCAGTCTCACTGCGGTCGAAGACGCAAAACGCTTCGAAAGGCCATGGTCTGGGACTCCGTGAGGGGAAGATGTGTGTGTGTGCGTGTTTAATGTTATCGTCGACCGCGCTAACCGGCTGACCAATGAAAAGACGTCAGTCTCGGCGCTGTTGAAAACGCAAAACACTTCTAAATGCCATGAACTGGGACCCCATGAGGGGGCAGCATGGGGATGGGGGAGGCTAGACTATCCTTCGGATCAAAGACAGAAAAATCAGCAACAGAAGAAAACTGGACGCGTCTACCATGGCTATTACCTTGTACTCTAGTTCGTTTAGGAGTACTTTCATCATTATCCTCCTTGTCTTCGTTACCATCATTCTGATCCTGATTTCGACAAGAATCTCTGGGCAGTTCTTCCCTAACCCTACTGTACGTTTTTTGTGTTGGGGAAGGTCATCTGGCTCAAACCCTCTACATGTGTGTGTGTGTGTTCGCCCCATCTACTCGGCCACCCCTTTCCCTCGTCGACCGTGAATCCGACGCTTGGGTTTGTTAATCAATCGGCCCAAGCGCTGCCCGTGGGGTGCTCGTGGGCACAGCGTTGTGCCCATTGGCTGATTTGCGAAACCCCCAGCAGTGTTGGGGTTTTGGGCCGCGACACCATCACACCCATCTACCGATTTGTTTTCATCTACAATCAATCTCTGAAGCGTTTTGTGCCTGGAGTTTGTGTGCAGAGTTCGCGCCCCGAACATAAGAACCTGGCAGTTCAGAAAGTGAGCCCCAAGCCACAATTTGGAAGCTCGGTCGAGAACCCTTGATACACTACGGCCCATGCAGCGGCCATTCGTATGTTAGGTTTTAGGGTGGGAGTGTAGGCGTCTTGATTGAGAAACCGTTCTTATGGCCAAGGTGTTGCGTTTTAGGGATATTTTACGCTCTGTTTCTTGACTGTTACTTAACGGTTTTTTTCCTAACATAAGTTTCTAACCGATGGTTCGTTCTGTACATAACGTAGATACGGATGCGAGAGAACGCACGGTTCGGTGATATCGCACATACCGGTGTTATCGCCACCCGCGTGCGATAAAAAAAAACAAGAACGACATGCGTTTTGTTTTTCGATTATCGCTCTGGGATTGGTGATACTGATACCGCATCCCCTTGCGAGAACAAGTCAATGACGAAACCATGTAAAAGTCGATCGCACCCTCATGTCTTCTCTCGCATCCTTACCGTACATGTCAGCGGTAACTTGCGACCTGTACTCCCAGCTATTCCCGGACCCGGGCGCCAACGAACAGCCCGATGATACCGTCAGCATGAGACAGGTGGGTGTGGATTCTGACTACGCTTCGGGAGACAGACACGTCCAGGTCGGGCAGGGTGTTGATGCGCCTGTGACCACGTGAATCGACCGGTCCAAGTGTTGAGAGATCGGAACGGTTGTTTAGTTTGAAGACAACAACAACAACAACATCAACAGAAACTCGGAGTAAGCTCGGATTGGATCCCTGCTTCTTTCTCCGTCGTTACGCGAAGTGGATAAAAACAAATAACTGGCGTGGAGATCGGACCTCACTCGTTTATACCTTGCGTCGCGATGGCATGGTCAACCTCCCCGCCCCCCGCCCCCCAATTGTTCTATTGATGCCCCATGTGTGCCTCGAACGAACAGACTCCGGACGGTAGCCAATGGTGGTTGCTGGGTATCTCGGGACAAATCTACGCGGTGAGCGGACAAGATACTGATTGATAGCCTCAGGTGTAAGTCGTGCACCATCGCAACCTGCCAAGGCTTGGGTGGGGAGGATTGGGAGGCTGGGATCGACCTTGAACACATTTTTAGTTGTCTGTGCTGTTGCCAACCGACCGCGCCAATTGGAATAGTAATGCTACATCTTCGACATGCGGGAACACCTTCTTCCCACTTCGGGGTACAACCTCCGCCCCCCCCCCCCCCCCAGGTTATAATCGGTGTCCAACCTTCACCCGCAACCTGACCTCTGGCCACCACCAGCGTACCGGTGTTTTATTTTTATTGTTGTTGATGGCCGCAGCTCGGTGGGGGAGCGCGATACAGGTAGCGTTCGCAGTTCAACAGCCTCTACAGTAGTTTTGTGCAAGGCTTGGGTTTTTAGTTCCTCTCGTGGACTACAAATGGCCGCTAATAGACACGAGTAGGATTTGGTATAGGGGTTCTCAACCGGGCTCACTAACTACAGTAACGAGGCTGAATATTGTCTTACAGTAGCTGCCAAATTCTTAAAAGTGCACGCGCCATCTGCACGGACAGTGGTCCACGCCAAGGGCTGATCGTCAGCTTGGGGTTGGCAACATCTGTAAAGATGTTGTTAGTCGCTGCCAAGAAAGCATAATGTAGCGCGAGCTAGGAGTTGTCGATTCCCTCGTCGGTTGTGGGATATGACAGGCTTTTTTTTTCATTTCATTTGTTTTCCCCTCTCTCTCCTCTCGCTCTCTCGTGCACAGGTGAACTTGGACAGCTGAATGGCTGGCAAGTAGTTCATTATTTGTTCCTTGGTCGCAACGTGCAGGTCAGCTGATTGGCTAAACGCTTCTTTCTAATTTTTTGTTTTTTTTTCTTGTGCAGGTGAACCTGGACAGCATGGATGAGTCTGAGCTGGTGATCGACGTCGCCGGGCCGGTCCCCTCCGGAGGCAGTTTCTACGGCGACTTCGAGGAGGTGCTTGGGGGGGGTCCACGATTGCAAAAAAGGGGGCGGGGGGGGGTGTAGTCATTAGACCATTGATTGACCTCGCATCCCTGCAGAGCCGGGATGGAGCACGCGGGGTTCTCACCGGAGAAGAAGGGGGGAGTGGGGCGAGTTTCAAGATTGCATAGAATGGCCGCTGACTGACTGCTGTTGCTGCTGTCGTCATTGAGGTTTGGGGGAGGGGGGGGGGGGGGCCTTTCAGGTTTCCAAAAAAGGCGGGGGATTTGTCTTTTTGTCCAGCTTTGGGTTTTTTGCCGGGGAAATTTTTGGGGTTGGGGAAATTAC